GGGCGGGTCAGGAGAGGTCTGCTGTGCCCTGTGGGTCAGCTCCGGGGCGGGGATCGAACTTGTGTTGCAGTGGCTGCAGACAGCTTCATAGTGCTGCGCTTATGTCTTCTTTCTTCCCCACTGAGTTGTAAATTCCCCAAAGACAGGGAACTTGCTCACTGCCATGTCTGCTGTGTCCTCACACCTAGAACAGCCCTTAGAACCCTGCCCGCCCGTGGACCTTTCAGCCCTGATGGAAATGCCCTGTAGCTGTGCTGTGCAGTGCAGTGGCCACTGGGCACTCAGTTATGGGAGAGTGCGGGCTTTGGGCAAAGTAGCACTCTTAAAGGTTTGTTGATGGAATGTTGAAAGGTGATTAAGCGCCTTTGCCTCTCCGCCTCTGTGGACTGGGCACCCACGTCGCCCACACCTGACCCTTTCGGGAGCCCCACGTGTGGGTGGAGCCTGGCGCCAGCGAGCACTCTGCACATGCAGGCGTCAGCGTTTTTGCTTCCTGGAAGCCAGCTTGTTGTCTTGTTGCGGGCGGAGAGACAGTGAAGGCTGACCCCATTCTTCCTCAGCTGGCGAGTCCTCTGCCGCGCCCCACTCCTCTGTCAGCTCTTATCGCCTCTCAGAGGAGTGGGAGGAAGGGCCTCCTTTTCCTGGCATTTGCTGGCCCTGGTCCTTGGAGGTCAGGAGGCCTGGGAACTATTTTCATCTCCAGACCTGCCCCTGGCCGCCAGCGCTTCCCATTGCTCTCGTGTGAGCCCAGCAGGCAGGCCAGAGCCGCTCAGTCATCCTCGGCCCCCGAAAGAGTGCTGGGGCAGGCAGCGGGTTTCCATAGGTGGCCGCCTGCTCCCCAAGTCGGGGCAGTCTTGTGCTCCCAGGGGCTGTCCACACGCTCCCCGGTTTTTGACTTCCCAACCGAGGAGTGAGTGTCTGCAGGTGGCCACCAAGACTCAGCGGGAAGGTAGATGCCAGGCAGGGCAGGGCAGGGCAGGGCCCCCTGTTCACCCCGACGGCCCCTCCACACGTCTGGCTTTTGTTGTCCATAAGCATGTGCACGGTAAGAACAGGAGAAAGTAAATGAGAAAAGCCGAGACTCCGCCTGGTGCTTGCAGTGCCGAGCCGTCCGCGGTGTGGGCTGTTGGCCTTGGGCTGGCGACTGACTGCCCGGGCACTGACAGCACCTGTCTCTACCTGCCAGGGGCCAGCAGGGCTGCTCCTTCTCCCACCCCCAGCCTGGTCACTACTGTTAAAAATGTTTTCGATATAGCCAGATGTTTCGGGGGCTTCAGGAGAGCCCTCTGGGCTGGAGAGAAGAGTTTCTAGAAGGCTGAAGCTGCCCTTCTGGCCACTCGCTCACGGGGAAAGGTGGGGTTGGGCCAGACCTGCGAGCCCAGGCTGTGACGTGAGCCTGGACTGGCTCGTTGGCCCTGGCTCCCCATCACCCACCCCCAGGCCTGCAGAGCCCAGAGGCCTTTGGGTCCCGTGAGTCCCGGCAGGGAAATGGGGACCCTCCTCGCCTGCAAGCGCATGTTGTCAGCCGTGCTCCCCGCCTCCCACAGAGACCGCGATTACCACCTGAAGACCTACAAGTCCGTGCTGCCTGCGAGCAAGCTAGTGGACTGGCTGCTGGCTCAGGTGAGCGCCCCTCCCCACCGCGTGACGCACCTCTCGCCTGCCCGGGACCAAGGGGCTGACCGCGTTGTGCCTTTGAGCTCTGGTTTTTGAAAAATGTTCTGTTAGTTTTCACTTGCTGTAAAAAATACTCAGAACATGGCATTTACCTTCTTAGATCTATTTGTAAATGGACAGTGCAGGACACTTAGTATACCCCACATTTCATGTGCCACTGTGATCTCCCTCTACCTTCAGGGTTCTTCATCTTGCAGAAGTGGAACTGTGTCCCCATTAACTGTGTCCCCCAGCCCCTGGCCCCCACCCTCCTTTCTATCACTGAATTGACCAAGAAAGTGGAGTCACTGAGCATCTGGCCCTCTGTGATGGCTTCATTCACTCAGTGCTCAGTGTCTTCAACAGGACATGCTTTCCTTTTCGAGGCTAAGTAGTATTCCATTGTAGGGACGTACCATGTTTTATTGATCCATCAAAGAACACACGGGCCACTCCCACGCTAGGGCTCCCAGTTTTAACACTGGCACAGACTGGGGCAAACCAGGGATGCCAGTGTCTTCTTGACACCAAGCTGGACCTTCTCTCCAAGAAGGTCGCAGTAGGCAGGCTCAGGGCAGAGGCTTAGAAAGATATGTTTTGCTGAAACTGACCAAAGGCCCTTGTCTGTTGAGGGGCCAGAGCATCTCCCGCCTGCCTGCTGCTTCTCCCTTCTGGGCCCTGTGCCCAAGGCATTTACCCAGGGCCTGGCAGCGCTGTGCAGACACTCCTCGAGTCCTCCAAGCCTAACAGCGTGGGAGCTGGGGCCTCGAGGGGCTCCGCCGTGCTCCAGGCTGCTGCTCTCAGACAGGCCTGTCTTGCCCTCCTGAGCCTCAGCTCTGCAGACTTCCAGGCAGCCCGCAAGAAGGCTCGTTTGTTGTCTGTGCAAAGAATGTGCTGGTTGCAAAGATGAGGAGGCAACTGCGAATTCAAAATGGATAAACGTTTCAACATTTACAGAGCTAGCTCTATGACCGCCTCATTAATTGTTAAATTTAGCATTCATCAAAACCTCATTCCATTTGAAAACAATTTGCTGGCTGGATTTTCTCACGTTGCCAAATTCCTGATGACTGCCTAGAAATCACAGCCAGTTTGTAAAATAAATGTTTCTTGGCGCCAAATAATATCAAGCTTCAAAAAACTCTTGATAAAAAAAGTTCCTCAAACCCCCAAAGCCTACTTAATGTGGACAAGGGTGCATTTTAATATGTTTGCTCTGAGGTGGGACCCTCAGCCTGGGAGGTCTTGAAGTGGCCCTGGATTTGAATGGAGATTTTCATGTCTGGGAAGCCCTGAGCTCCTCACCAGGGCCTTAGAGTCCCTTGAATCCGGCCAGCGCGTGCACTTTGTCTCCAGTCAGGCAGACTTGGCTTTGAAGCCCAGCTCTGCTGCCTCCTAGCTGAGTGATGTCGGGCAAGCTGCTGGACCTCTCTGTGCCGCAGTTCCTACACAAGGACGCTTAGAGTGACCCTTTCTTGCGGACTCAGTGAGCCCTTGACGTCTGTGCTCGACCGGGACCCGGCACAGAGCCGTGCTCAGCGGCGTCTGGCGCCTTTGCAGAGGGTTCAGGAAGCCTCAAAACCGCATGCGGCGTGGAAGGCTGACCGTGTTGTGGAGGAGTTTGGGGCTACCGGAGCTAACATTCAGGGGGCGGGAGAGGTGCACACGTTGCTTCCAGGAGCCCGTCTTCTGGGTGCTGCCGAAGGAGGGCAGCGGGAGGCCTTCTCTTTTTGTGGTTTAGGTCCTTTAGTTGGGCCCAAACCTGCCTGGATTCAGGGTGCTCCCTGCCCCTCAGCCCTTCCTGTGGCCTTCGGTCCCCCAACTCCATCAGCACCTGCGGCTGCCTTTGACACCCAAGCCCGATGCGGACTTTGCCCCGAGTGGAGTAGGTGCTGGAGTAGGTGCTGGAGATGGAGAATCGGGGTTCTGGGAAACGCTTGCAGATGGACGCACAGGGTGCACTGCCCTGGATGGGGTGAGTCCTGAGGTGTGGGCCCAGTGAGAGGTAGGGGAGCAGTCACCGGAGGGGACATTGAGACTGAGGGGTGGGGCTGCCGTGGGTGGAGGGGCACGGCGCTGCGCCCCTGGAGCTCAGGTGGCGTCTCGCGTCCCGTTGGCTTCGGGTGGTGTTTCACCTCTGGCAGGGAGGGACCTGCTAAAGCACCCCAGCGCTGGCTTCGCTTTGGCGACTGGTCTTGGCTGTGGTGGAGGCTGGCTGTCGCCAGTGTGGTTCCGAGTCCTTGTCAGTTGGTCCTCAGGGCGCCCCCTGCCTGAACCAGCGTCCTGTTGCAAATGGAGGCAGAGGAAGGAGGCTGGCGGGCAGGTCGCAGCTGACCATGAAGTGCGCCTGTCCACTTCGGCAGGCCCCCGTGGCGTGGCCCGGCCGGGACACGCAGGGAAGCTAATAGGAGCTGACACGGAGCATGGCTGCCACGAGGCCCACCGAAGGGCAGCTGGCAGGCTGCTCGGCTCAGGGGAAGGCACGTTGAGTTCTCTCTGTGGGGGGTGAAGCCTCATTTCAGCAAGTCTTGATTTTAAATTGTCCTACTTTCAGCCTACGCAGGAAAGTCGAGTTGGCTTGACACACATCAGCAGAGTTAGGAGGGTGATTGCTCTTTGAACACATGTTCATACTTAACTTGTCGGTCATCCCGCTCCTTGAACCAAAATGTTGACTGAAATGCCCTGTATCAACTAGAAATGCTCCTGGCTACGTATCATGGGAAATCTGACGTATACTGTAAAGATACTTTCCTCTCACATAAATTGCTGAAGGCAGTTCTGTCTCACACAGCGAGGCGTTTGGAGCCCAGCGCCACGGGCGGCCGGGCTCTTCTGGCCTGTGTTCCTCCCGCCTCGAGCCGGGCGCCTCCTTGTCCCAAGACGGCTGCCACAGCTCCCGCATGACGCCTGGGACAGCAGGGCGGCTGGAGAGAGCCTGCCCCTCTGTTCACGAGGGAAGGAAACATCCCTTCCTGCCCCTGTCTCCCCCTCCATGGTCTTACTGGAAACCTCCCTGGCCATCTGTTCCCTTTGGGCCTGGACTAGCAGGATTCTTGTAACCCAGGGGAGAAGGTGAGCGTGAGCGCCAGTGCTCGTGGCCGTGCTGATCTCTGCGCTTCAGCTCAGCCCTCAGGACAGTCGGGGGACACGCAGCTATCACCTTCTTTTCTTTTAAAAAAATGTTTATTTATTTATGCATACAAGAAGGAGGGTATAGGCCAGAGGTGTGGGGGTGAGAAGATTTGCCAGAGGCAGAGTGGGGAGCAGAATAGCCAGATGGACTGAAATACACTGCTGAGGGGAGCAGTGGGCAGGACAGGAGAGGTCTGCTGCTCCATGTGGGTCAGCTCCCTGGCCAAGGTGGAACTTGTGCTGCAGGGGCTGCAGACAGCTTCATAGTGCTGCGCTTTAACTCCCTTGGGCCACCAGGGAGGCCCCATTTACCACCCTCATTTCAATGATGAGAAAACTTAGGCTCAGGGTACATCTGTTGCCTCAGGGTACTAAGTCCTGGGGTTCTTCTGTAAGACTGTGTGTGTGTGTGGGGGGGCTGTCATGATGTCTTGGTCATTGTAATAACAATAGATATTATAGCCCATGGGGAGTCTGAGGGGGGCACACTACTCAGGGGTGGCAGAGGTCTGGGCAAACTAAGGGCGAATGGGAGAACACAACTGAGGAAAGGGGCCTGGGAGAGGGTAAGGGGGTGCCCATAGTCACAGCCGAGGGAACGGGACCCCTCCACTGCTCCCTGAGTCTGTCTCCACTGCGGGTTCTGTTTGGTCTGTGTCCTCTGGGCTCAGGACGTCCGGGCTGTGGCCGTCAGATGGAGGCAGGGTGAGTGGGCGGGCGGGAGAGAGCAGGGTCAGGCCAGGGCCAGGTGGGGGTGGGCACACAGATCTGCCAGCTCCCGAGCTGGCCCTGCAGAAATGTGCCGGGGTGCCTGCTATGCTGACCCTCCACCAGGCTGCTGGCAGGTGCTGACTGCAGGCACTTGGCACTAAGTGGGGTCAGAGATCAGGCTGGGAGCAGCCCAGAGACCAGGCTGGCAGCTGGAGGCACCCGCACAGGGAACGCAGACACGAAGGACAGGGCCATGTGGGCTAGGGCGCTGGAGCCTCAGTTTCCCTCCTGTGACTGATGGTGGGTCTGGCTCCGAAAGGACCCATCCTCGAGGTATAACATCGGGCAAGCTGCCAGGCCTGTGCGCGCCTGTTTCCTCACTGGTCAAGGGGAGCCAGAGAGTGGGTGTCCACTGAGATCTGCGGAGGCTGTGTGGTGAGAGTCGTGCCTGGGCGTGGATGGGGTGTCAGGTTTCTGGGCGCGCGGTCTCCCAAGGCCCCACAAAAATTCCCTCCCTGCACTGCACCCCCCCAGCCCTGCTTTGCCTCTGTCACTGTCATTCCTAGTTGATTCTCTCTAATGAGTAATAACCAGATTAGCTGAGCACACTTACGGACGCCATCACACACGGGAGGCCTCTCGTTTCCCTTCCTCGTCCTCCAGAGAGCCCAGCGAGGTGTGGACACATCACTTCTGAGGCAGGACTGAGGCAGGGTGGCGAAGTCAAGATCACCCCCCTGGCAGTTCCCCCTCCTCCCTTCCATCCATCCAACACTTATCTTCGTGCCCCACCAAGTGCCAGATACTGTGCTTCATGGAGGGGAGGGGGTGGCCGTAGCGGGCACTGTTGGTGCTCACAGGAGCTGGCCCACTAATGGCCCAGGCCTGAAGTCATGTAGCTGGGGTGAGCTCAGCTCGGGCTGTGACGACGCAGCCCAGATGTTGTGTGAGGTAACGAGGGCGTGACTGGGGGCATCTTCTGGGGAAGGTGTGTGGGAAGGGCTGGGGGATCCTTTAGTCATGTAGGGGAAGACTCTCCAGGGGGAGATGTACAGAGCTGGGGGAGGACATTCTGCATGGCGGAAAGAGCAGGCGCAAAGGCCCTGAGGTGAGGCCACGTGTCCTGAGTGGCAGGAGCAGCAAGGAGGCCAGCGGGCAGACCGTGGCGGGTGAGCCGGTGAGCGGGCAGTGAGCCTTGCAGAGAGCGCCCGGCCCCCTTCCTCTGAAGCCGAGAGTGCACCGTTTTCTCCACAGCTGGCTGGTGGTGGGGTGGGGTTTCCTCTCCAGGTACATCCGGGGTCCCTGCATTTCACCGTTAACCTGAGAACCCGGGGTGGGGGCTGTGCTGACTTAGGAGCCTCCCTGCTGTCACCCTAGGGCCCTTTGGGGAGGAGGCCGGGGATGGTCCGGAAGAGCCTCAGGCGCCAGGTGGGCGGCATATGCCGGCCAGCCTCTTCGCTGCAGAGCTGGGCCTGCCCACCGCCTGGGCCCCACTGGCCCTCCCAGTGGGCGGCTGCTCAGGGGGTAGCCTCTCTCGTGGCCAGCTCCCTGGCACGGCCCCGAGCACACTGGCCTTCCAGCCACTGGTCCCTTAGGAGAGCTTGTCATCTAGGCGGCCCTGGGCAGCCAGCGTGGAGAAGTGCCCTGGCCGCCCCAGCCCCTGCCCTCTGGTCTGTGCAGGCCGAGTCCTTCAGCCTCAGCCCTGCTGTGTCCAGCACTTGGGGAGTTACTTAAGCGCAGGGTCCCCTGGCCTTGTCTGACTGGACCTACTTGAAGGCATGTAGTCAGCTCACTGACCTGACCGCGTGCTCCTGCAGGGTTTGGCCCTGCTGACAGCATCTTTGTACATTCAGCAAACCCTTACTGAGAATCTGCTGTATGCCAGGCCTTGCTCTGAGTGCTGAGGGTGCAGTGAGGAGCCAGCAGGCGGGAGTCCTTGTCCTGAGGAGCTGACCTGGCCAGCCACGTGCTTTCTGGCTCCTTGTGCAGTCCAGGCCCTGCCTTTGCTGCCGGCCTGCCTGCAGCCCACAAATGCAACTCACACACACTTGGCCTGAATGCGCTGGGGTTGCAAGAAACGGAAACCTATTCTGACTAATTTAAGGAAGAGAGAAAGATGAGTTATTAGAAGGCTCTGGAGCATCCCCAGCGTCTGGGGACCTAGGAGCCAGGCTGTAGAAAGGGAAACCCCCCTGGCTTCCGGGGAGCCGCAGCTGAGGGCCTCAGAATCAGCACGACTGTCCTTGCCCTGAGGTTCTCCATGGGGGGGGGTGTCGGGGTCCTGGGGCAGGGGCTGTGAGTCCTCAACCTGTCTGGGAGGGTGGCAGACCTTGGGGTCAGCCCCACTAGGTGACGCTACCCTGGGAGAGTGGGCAGCAGCAGCAGGTCCAGTGCACTGTGCCCCGTCTATTGATGCTTCAGGTTTGGTTTGATGTCACTTCTGGACATGAATCAGATTCCTCTGATGCTAGCTAGAGGTGTTGTCAGTTGCAATGATGGAAAACTAGACAGTGTCTTACACAGATCATCATACCACCGGCCCAGAACCTCTGTCCTTCCCTCAGCATCCCTCAGGAGAGCCCCCCCAACCCCCCCAACCCCATGGTCCCTTCCTCACACCACTTTTCCCAGCTGTCACACTGGCTTGAGCTAGGTCGGTGAAGAGTTGAGCTTGATGTCTAGTGTCAGAGTTTCAGCCACTGAGGAGGAACAAACCAGGGCTTAGTTTTCCTTTAGTATGAGAGTGGCCTGGAGGTTGGTGGCCACTGCGGCTAAGGCAGCCTAAGGAGTCTCTATCTCGAGGTCACCTGTGGGCTGGGATGACTGCAGGGGCTCCAGCCGTCACATCTTGCCCCAGGGTTTTCCCAGAGCTCCCCACCAGCGGTTTCTCCTTGGCCAGCTGTCGCTGCAGGGGACACTGGGGTCCATGGTTGTCTAGCTGTATGCACAGCTGTCAACACCCACAAGAGTTTCATTGCCAGGGCAGGATCAGACAGGGTTGTTGCTAGGCAACCAGCAACATCTGCTATCGCACGTCTCCATCTCCCCTTTGTGATGTTGGTTACACAATGCACAATGTGTTTATCAAAAATACAGTTGAATAATTTTCTTGTTTGAGACTTAACTAATAACATTCATGAAGATGCTTTGGAGTTATGGCAGCAAACACACAAATCTGTGCCTTCGTGCCTCCTTCAGTCTAGGGCTGGTGGTGGGCTTTTGACCAGCCTCAGTCAGCCCCCTGGATGTCCATCCACCTAACAGCCTCCCCTTCTTGTTCTATTCCAGGGCGACTGCCAGACGCGGGAGGAGGCGGTGGCGCTCGGCGTGGGCCTGTGTAACAACGGCTTCATGCACCACGGTAACCTGCCCCTGCCCTCCGCCCAGCCTCCCGGGGCCTTGCATCCTGGGACGTCTGTCCTGGAAAAGAAGAGCTGCCAGGGACCCTGGTCCCTGGTGTACTGCATAGGAAGGGAAACTGAGGCCCGGAGAGAGCAGGTGGGCTGGAGTCTGCCCTGTCTTGGCGCCAGGTCTGTGGCCCTCTAAGCCATGCGGGTTTTGAGCAGCTCATGGGCCTCTCTGCAGCCTCTCCCCTGTCTTATGTCCTGTGCTGATTTAGGGGTGGCCAGTGGGCCAAAGAAAAGCTTGGCTGGAGAAACAGGGACTGGATCCTGAGCAAATCCAGGGGCTTCTGGTGGCCTTTTCCTGGAGGAAGTGTGGCTGCCAGGCGCAAGTACAGACCCTGGGGCTTTCACAGGGAGGAGAGGAGAGGGGTCTCCTGGGACGGAGGACAGATGAGTTTAAGTGTGACTAGAAGGAAGCCAGGCACGGCCACTCTCCGGCCTCACGTCCTTACAAGAGTCACTTCTGTTCCCGAGGGGATAAGCCAGTGAGTGGAGCAGAGAGGGGAGGTTCCCAGCAGAGGCGGGACCCCCGGCTGCCTGTTGGCTGGGGACAGAGCGGGGGCCAGCGAGGAGGGTCTGTGGTGGTGCCATGGTTGGGGGAAGGGCGGTGTGGGGGCAGGAGACCCCCAGGGCCCTTGTACATTCCTCCTCCGCTTCTGCCTGGGGCTCAGTCGGGGTTTTAGGCTCTGCAGGCCCGTGTCTGGCTCGGCTCGACTTGCTGTCGGAGCACAGGCAGCCACAGACGCTGTGAACAAGTGGGCGTGGCTTTAGTAGAATACAGGTGAAGGGCCTTCACTTTCTTGCTCCTGGCCTACCTGCTGTGCCAGCTGTCCCTTCAACAGGTGACAATGTGCTGGGCGCCAAAAGGTGACAGGTGCCTTGTAGCCAGCAGGCCCCGTTGGACTCAGTAAGCGTGTGCCCTTCTCTTTAATCCGTGGGCCCTCTTTCCCATTGTTCTGCTGCCCCCCCCAACCCTCAGCATGCCACAGTTTTGTGGGGCCAGGGCTTGCTCCCCAGCAGACTGTTTCCCCAGCTGAGACGGGCAGGTTGGGCCCAGCCATGACAACCTGGTCTTTCCACCCTCCACATAGTCTCACCAAAGTCCCTTTTTCCCAGAAACCGCTGTTCCCTGTGGGGCCTCTGATAGCCCCGTCGTCTCCCCCCTCCACTGCCCCCCCGCCATCAGATGGGCAGAACCTCTCATTTGTGGGGGAGAGTAATTAGGGGTCCGCCCCAGCTGCTATTCCGGGAAGGCTGCAGGCTGTGGGCATTCTGCAGGGGGTGACTCCCAGGCAGTACCAACACCCTCAGGGCCCCTCAGGGAGGGAAAATTGCAGGGTGCGTCCCCTGTTCCTTTGCTCCCTGCCACGAACTCAAAAATAGGCTAAAATAGGAAAGGGCCGAATCCCAGGGTTGTGGCTGCAGCAAAATGCAGGTCAGGGCCCAGAGCAGAGGGCCGGCTGTGGCCCACGTGGCGCCTCCCGTGGCTTCGGGCCTGAGCCTGAGCAAGGGGCCTGTGGTGTCTCGAAGGGGGGACTGAGAGGCTAGTGGTCCAGCTCTCGCTCTGGGCACCTGTGGGGAGACTGAAGCTCACGATTTAATCTTCGCACCTATCCTAGGAAGTGGACAGTATTCTCCTAGGAAGTTGACACTACTGTCCCCACAGATGAGGAAACTGAGACAAAGAGAGGCTAAAAGCTCATGAAGTTTGGAAGGCGCTGAGCAGGAATTTGAACCTGGACCCTTGCCCATCTCTCAAGGTCTGGCCAGTGGCCTGGGCCTCACCTGGCTGAGTGCTGGGATTCCAGCAGTCTCCCACACATTCCAGGGGACACAGCCCTTGGGACGCCCCTCCCAGGCCCCGAGTCTTTCAGGCCGAGGTATACACTGGACGTGATGCCAGCAGGCTCCCTGGCCTGGCTCCCCAGCTCTGGGGAAAGCAGCAATTTGGGGGTCTGTTTTATCCAAAGAGGTAGGTGATAGGGGCGTCCTAAGAACAAGGCTCACAGCAGCCAGGTGTCCTGGGGAGTGAAGGGAAGAAAGGAGCTGCTGCTTTGCATTTGGTCACAACTCGGCACGAAGCCTCCATCTCAGAGATGACAGGGATGCCTGCAAGCCGAGGCAGCTGATTATCCACTGGCTCCAGAAAAGGGCTTTTACCAAGGCAGGCTGGGCAGCAGAATCCCAGAGGTGGGCAGTTCTGCCGCCTGCTTGCTCTGTGACCTTGGACGGTTATTTCGCTTCTCTGGGTCCTAGTCTCCCTGCCTATAAAAGGGGTGTAGCAGGTCCCCCGTGGACCTCAACCTTAACACTAGGGCAGAGTTCCCATCCTACAGTTTTGGGGGTGAGTTTTAGTTTTACTGTTCATATTTAAGTCAAATCCATCATTTTACTCTTGTATGTGGTGTGAGGAAGGGATCGGCTTTATTCCCTGCCCGCCTCCCCACCCCCAACCAAGTCAGTTTTCCCAGGGTCATCTGTGGGATGGTCCACATGGCTGCGGTTCATCCATCACATACTGAGTTCCTGTAAACACAAAGAATTTCTGTTCTCTTCACGGATTCTTTATCCATCCCTGGAGTTTAGTAGTTCAACACTGCTTTTGTTACATGACTTTGCAATATGTCTTTATAACAGGTGGGAAAAGTTCAGCTTTTTCAAGAAAAGTCAGGAAGCCTGGCTTTTATGGGAAATATCGTAATATGTTAGTGTTGTCACATGATTTCATTTAATAAAACTATGTGCTGGCCAAACTTGTCCGGGGGCTGGTTCCGGGCCATGGCTGCCAGTTGGCAAATGCTGCCGGGACCTTCCCCTGGGAGCCTGACCATGTGTGCGTGTGTTGGGTTTGCAGTGCTGGAGAAGAGCGAATTCAAGGATGAGTCCCAGTACTTCCGCTTCCACGCAGACGAAGAGATGGAAGGCACCAGTAGCAAGAACAAACAGCTTCGCAATGACTTCAAGCTGGTGGAAAACATTCTGGCCAAGCGCTTGCTGGTAGGAGTAGAGCTGAGCAGCTGCCTCTGCCTTCCTGGACCCCTGCAAGCCTGTGCCGGGCAGGCCTCAGATTATGGCTAGAGAGGGGGCTCGCCTTTGAGGCCCAGAATATGGGGAATTCTGATTATGCTACCACGAGGCCACTTCTCTGGCCAAGTCTACCCACTTCACAGAAGAGATTGGGCTTGCTGGGCTCTGTGCTTTTCCCTTTCTATCTCCTCTTGTCCATCCCACTACCCTGCCAAGCACTGTAGAGAAGTGAGGCTCCCCAAATCTCTCCTCCTGTGTCTAGGATTATGCCTTCGGTGCTCGGGGCTGGCACCCTGTCATGTTCACTTGCTGTTAACCGCCTGGCAATTAGAGGAGAGTGTTTGTTAGCCTGTTGAAATATTTTACCAGCCTAACCCACCAAATCCTATTTCTCTGCTTCCTGATGAGCTGCAGCAGCCTCTACCTAAAAGCCTGGCACACTGAAAGATTGAAAGAGGCATAGAAGCCTGGATCTCTCAGCACGACAGAAGTTGGAGCTCAAGCCTCAGTAGTACTTACTGCCCCTGTAGTACTTGGGGGGCTGCTGTCCCTCCCACTCTCCCCCGCGGTGAGGTCCTCTCTGTTCACACGTAGACTACAGTGCAGTCTCTCCCATGGGTCACAAGACACTCCAGTCTCTCAGCTGCATTTCCTGGTCTCTCCCTTTCCCAGCCGCTCTGCTCTCCTTTCTTACCCTCCAGGAGGCACCCACAGGGCCTTTGCACATGCTGTGCTCACTGCTTGGAGCATGTACTTCATTCTTTATACAGTTTTGCCTTTGATTTCCTTCAGGCTCAGCTCAGATGCCACCTCTGCCGCCGCCCCTTCCTGCCATGCCCCTTTTATTCCTGTGACGCCACTTCCTCCCTGCAAAATGCTTTCTGCTTCATTGATTATGTCTGTAGTCTGTTTGCCCCACTAGAGAGTCACTTGTGGACTGGAATTGTCTCATTCAGTACTGTCTTCAGCACCCAGTAGAGTAGCTGACCCATATAATAGGCAGCAGCTCCACACACACCTGTTGAATGCCACCGAACCCCAAAATCTTCCATTCTGGAGGAGCGGCTCTTGCCTAAACTCCCTTCCTAGCTCTGAGTTCTTGGTGACTGGACACCTTTGACTTTGAATCTGTTTTGTCCATTAGCCAATATGTTGAGTCCCTGTAGGATGCCAGCAGGTGGGTGGGAGGGGTGCAGTGGTGCACGAGAGAGGTGACTGTTCTCAGGTTGGGAGAAAGAGGGGAGCTAGGCGGCAGGAGCAAGCACCAGCGGCAGCCGAGGGGCCAGCCGGGTGCTGTTTTCACTTGCCATCTACGGGCACCTCCCGCGTCCCGGGCCCTCTGTGCCTTACTCCGCTGGCCTGGAGCCGCCGCTTCCCTGCACCCTTCCGTCCCTTGCAGGCCTGGGGTGTGGGGACTGGCAGGGTCGCAGCCAGGCAGGGCCAGCTCCTGGCCCACAGCATACCTCACCGGGCCTCTCCTGTCTTGGGCCCTCAGATTCTGCCTCAGGAGGAGGACTACGGCTTCGACATCGAGGAGAAGAACAAGGCCGTGGTGGTGAAGTCCGTTCAGAGGGGCTCCCTGGCGGAGGTGAGGCTGCCCGACAGGCAGCAGAGTGGGCTGGCCCTCTCGTTCCTTGAGGCAAATCTGGGGATGTCAGTGGTTCCACCTTGATTTGTGTCCTTGTAAGAAACTGAGTCGGGGCTGTTGAGTGAACGTGCTGGGGCAAGTGGGCGAGGCCTCAGGCCTGAGCTGTCCCTCTCCATGTGCCACTGGCTCCCTCTCCTGGCCCTGTGGGGCAGTGCGAGGAGAGAGCGGGTCTGTCGGATGTGGTCATCAAAGACACCAGTGATTGGGCTTGAATGAGACGTTGTGGCTCTGGAGGAAGGAGGAAGGCCAGTCTCTGGGTGAGCACGGGGATAGCCCAGGTCCTTCCAGCTGCTTCCAGGGGCTGGAGACGGGGGTGGGCCCCTGCCACATGGCCCAGGCATTTGCTGGCCACCTCCGAGTGATTGGGGTGCTTCTGGCTGCAAGAAGCCATAGGCTCCCCCCACGGTGGCTGGAGTCACCCGCCTTCAGTTTGATGATGATCTAAGTGCAAGGAGGTGGCTGGACATCCAGGTTCAGAGGTGGCGTCTCCCGTTTCCTAGTCCAGTCCTCAGTCGCGAGGCGGCTGCTCCAGTTAATGGGAAACAGAGACAGGCCGTGGGGAGTTTCCCCAGGGAAAGCATCTTCCTGTGAGCCCCACTGTGGGCTTCGCGCACAGCTCAGTGGCCAGGCCGGGCCTCGGGAGCCCCTTAGGTGCCGACTCCAGAGGGCTGCCCGGTTGCCCTGGTGGGCTCGCTCAGGGCAAGCTTGGCCTCTGGGGCTGGTGCTCTGCCACCTGGAGGCGTCTGGGCTCCTTGGTGAGGGGCTGGAGGCTGGCCATGCATGCGCTCGTCTCCCCTGCCCACCCGCAGATGGCAGGCCTGCAGGTGGGGAGGAAGATCTACTCCATCAACGAGGACCTGGTGTTCCTGCGGCCCTTCTCGGAGGTGGAGTCCATCCTCAGCCAGTCTTTCTGCTCCCGCCGCCCCCTGCGCCTGCTGGTGGCCACCAAGGCCAAGGAGTGAGTGTCCTCACGGCAGGGCGTCTGGCTGACCTGCCCCTCGGCTCGGGGAGTGGCGGGTGCGCTGGTGGTCAGCGGGTGGGCCGGGTGTGGGGTGCAGTGCCGGGCCTCTTTCCCCTGGCAGAGCTCACTGCAGGCCGTTGTGCGCCAGCTGCTGCTCGAGGGCCGGGGTGCAGCCGAGCCCGATGGGCCCCATCCTGCCCCCGTGGATCTTAGTTTTGTTGGGGGATAGAGCTGCGGACAGTTCCACGGCTCGCAGAACAGAGATTCGAGAGATGCACTGAGCAGTGGCAGCCGCCGTGGGGCAGACCTGTGAAGCTGGGAAGGAATGCTGGTGGGTGATGGGCGCGCAGAAATACCACTGAGCATTCAGGTGAACACCTGAGGACATGAAGAAGGGGCTCAAATTCTGGAGGGGAGAGTTCTAAGTGGCCGAGACAGCGAGTGCAAAGGGCCTGAGGCAGAAGTGTGGCTGCGGAGTTTGCGGGACCGTGAGGAAGCTGATGGGACTGGAACAGAGCAAGCAGAAGAGGGAGGGCGGTTTGTCAGCCAGACAGGTTGGGCCAGGCCCTTTGTGCCCCCGTGAGGACTGTGCAGCCACGGAAATTTCTGACCCGACGCGGGTTCTGGCAGAATCTCTCTGGCCGCAGGTGGAGAGTGGGTTGTCAGGGGCACGCGGGGTGGGGTGGGGTCGGGGAGGGGTGGCGTGGTGAGGAGGCTGCCGGCTGGGCCGGGTGGCAGCGTGCGGGTGGTGAGAGCAGTTTGGAGACCAGATATAGGCACGGGGGGAGCATTTTCTATTTTAAAAACTGTGCATTTGGTTGTCACTTCTTCTATTTAAGGCAAACACTCCGGTTGCCTATTGACGGGAGTGAAGGAAAGTTTTAACTACAATTATTTCTGTAAAGAGGCAAGCTGATTTAGGAAGAATGACTGATGGTTTGGTTGCTAGGTGGAAGCGACAGAAATCACTAAGGTGGCATGTGTCCTGTGTCTGCTCAGCACTCAGCAAACACCTGGGGATTGAGAAGAGTCCCGGGTTGACTCTCTGGCGGCTGGGCTCAGACAGCCACCCTGAGGCCCATGGTGGGGGGAAGGAGGCACAGCCTGGACAGGGCAGCTGCGACTACAGGGCAACACTGGAGAGGCACCCCACTGCAGGGCTCTGCCCCCCACAGCGCCAGCACCGCCCCGGCTTCCCAACCGCCTTCTCCCAGGGACACTGTGGGCCTTTTCCAAGAATCAGCACTGGGTCACTTCTCGCTCTCCCGTCTGAGACCGTGGACTAGGATATCCGCTGGGTGACATGGCAGCCTGGCCACCAAGCGGCCTCGGGACAGGCTGATGGGGAAGCCGCAGGGGGGCCTGGCTCTCCAGGGCAGGCCGGTGGTCCCGATCGGTGGGCCTTCGGCTGTAGGTGGGGGCTGGATTTCCAGACATCTGTGAGCAGGGTCTGCTGGACTCTCGGGAAGGATGCTGTTGTTCCTCATGTGTGCTTCTGCCTGGCACAGGGTCATCAAAGTCCCTGACCACCCAGAGGCTTTGTGCTTCCAGATCCGCGGAGCTGCCCCGCCATATGTCTATGCTGTGGGGAGAGGTGAGCGAGCGCCCAGCGGAAAGGGGAGTCGAGGGGTCAAGTCTGTCTTGGAATTGACATGTGAAAGCGGGTGGTTAAAGCAGTGGTTCCCGGCTGGGGCTCTTGGCCCTACAGAGCACGTCTGGAAGTGTCTGGCCATCAGTTTCTGTTACAAGTGGAGGTGGGTTGCTGTTGGCATCTGATGGGTAGAAATAAGACGTGTTGCTAAGCATCCTTCAGTGCCCGGGACAAGCCCCCTCGATAAAGAACTATCTGGCCCCAAATGGCAGTAACGCTGCGGTGAGAATTGCTGCCTTAGAGCAGCTGCAGAGAAGAGTAGGCGACACAGGCAGGAGGGCAAACAGCTGGTATTTCTTGGGCACGTATTAGGAGCCTGGCATGGGGCTAAATGCTCTACAGGTTTAACTTACCGATTTTCTGAAGAACCGTGAGTGGGTATTATCGGTGTCCCCACTCAGCCAAGAACAGAGAGGTTAAGGTCACACAGTTGGTCGGTCTGTGGCAGAGCTGGGTTTGAACCCAAGCTCCTGGGGTCCACACCGTGGAGGCCTGATGCCCTCCCGTGTCTACGCAAGCTTGGCACTCGTGTGCATTCGCAGCCCTTCACGTTAACCAACAGCGCCCTGGCTCCACGGCTTGCACCTGGGGTTGTGACTTGGCTGAGAAAGCACGTGGCAGGAGTCCGGGGGACCTGCCTTTGAATCCGGATTTCACCCGGCCTTGTGACCCTGAGAGTCACTTTGCCTCTGCGACCTCTGTTTCCTTCTCTGCAAAAGGGGCTACGTCTGGTCCTGCAAAATCTAGGGCCCAGTATCCAGCCTTCTTTGCTGTGTGATCTTAAGCTCGCTGCTACTTCCTGAGCCTCGGTTCTGCTGCCAGATGGGAATGCCAGTCCCTGTCGGGCCTGCCGGGGTGGGTGGAGGGCAGCTCCAAGGTGGCGGGGATAGTGGACACTTTGGGGACTGGAGTGGCGGGCGGGTGGGGGTCAGCATCCGTCGGGTACTCGCCCCAGGCCCCCTCTGCGGCCTCCAGCCTCGAGCGTTTCCCACCCTGCAGGCTCGGAGGCAGCGGCTGCAGGGCTGTGTGCCGGCCAGTGCATCCTGAAGGCCAGCGGCAACAACACAGCCAGCGAGGGTGCCCCAGAGGTCCTTGAGCATTTCCAGGCATTCCGGAGCCGCCGAGAAGAGGCCCTGGTGAGCCACCCAGCAGCCAGGGGGTCAGGGAGGCCACTCAGAGGGCTGAGGCCACTGCTCCTCTCTAGGGCAACACAGTGTTCGGGGTAGAGTGGGGCTGCACACGGCAGGCATGAGCTGGACCTGACCGCGGTCCGCCAAGCCCAAGTCGCCGGGCTGTGATTCCCCATGACCTTGATTTCCACAGCCGTGACATGGGTGTGATAAGAACCTCTTTTCTCATAGGCATCTGTGGCCTGGGCACTGTAGCAGATGTTGGGCTGGGGTCTGTGGAGGCAAGCTTGGTGCTTGGGCTCGTTCCATAGGTGCTCACTGGCATACTTCTATGGAACTCGTGTGCATTCGCAGCCCTTCACGACATCAGAGTCAGGTTTCTGCTCCCATGGGTCTGACTGGCCCTTCCCTTGCCTTCCGTACCACAGACTGGAGAGGTTGAGGGCTGACAATGACTTGAGGTCTCTCAGGAAGGCTCCAGGGCAGACTCTTGAAGGCTTCTCCAAGGGTGTCAACAAAGGCTAACAAGCATGAATCTTGGAGTTGGGACGCCCTCTGCCCCTTGGCCCTGCCCCCTTACTCTCTTCTCCTCATAGGGCCTGTATCAGTGGGTCTACCATACCCACGAGGATGCCCAGGAGGCTCGAGCCAGCCAGGAAGCGCCCGGTGAGGACCCCAGTGGCGAGGGGGTCCGGGAGGAAGCCCGGGATGCAGGTACTGGGACAGACGGGTGGTGTGACGGACTCGGAGGGTCCGGGTGCCCCTGTGTCCACACTCCCCTGGGGTCCCATCCGGTCCAGCTCCACACCATCAGCTCTGTAGTAGGTTCTGATGGCTGCTGTAATCAGGAGCCACAGAGCCAGTGACTTAAAACAACAAACGCTTATTATTCTACAGTTCTGGAGGTCAGAAGTCGAAATGAGTCTCACTGGCCTAGTCAAAGTGTCACTGGGCTCTGGGGAGAATCTATTTCCTTTCCCATTTCAGCTTCTAGAAGCCATGCTCTTCGACTCATGGCTCCTTCCTCAAAGTCAGCAATGTTGGCCTGAATTCTCACACTGCCTCTCCCAGTTCTAACGCTTCTGCCTTCAGCTTCCCCATGTGAGGGCCCTGGATTAACGGACTCACTCAGATAATCCAGCATAATCACCTTCATGTCAGTGATTAGCCACCTTAATTCCATATGGCCAGAATTCCCCCCTGCCCAGTAACAAGACATACAGTGCCCGGGTCCAGTGTGTGGGGCCTCGGCCAGGGGCCTCCATTGGGCCCACTGCCCATTCTCCCACACATTGGTCTCTCCAGCCCAGCCTCAGCCCCATCCCGATGCCTGACATGCACCACAGCCTTTGCAGGACCAAAATCGAACTCCTGGTCTCTCCAGAACTGTTCCCCACTCCCGCCCTGACCCCAGGGGCTTCTGTCTCCATCCTTCCGGATTCTGACAACTTAGAATCCAGCTGAAAAAGAGAATGTCTCCTTTTTTTTTTGTAGACTCAACATAAGTCCCATATCTGACTCTCTTTAGCCCAACTTGGGTCATATGCTGGTTCCTAAAGCAATCACTGTGAATAGGGGAAGATGAACATACAGATTAACCAGGTCTTCACCTCTCAGGGAGGGTGTGGGAGGGCCCTGCCTTCTGAGTTACAGGGACTGAGAATAGGGCACGAAGGTGGGTTGATTCCTAGCAGGTCGTCTTCTAGGATGACGGGTAAATGATAGTGGCCCAGGAAAAGCGAATGGAGTTGTACACAGGGCAGGCCGTTGACCCCCCTCACCACACCCCCAGACCAACATGAGCTGTCCATGGTGCTGGGGTAGGGGGCAGGCTGACAGGTGGTTGGTTGGTGCTTCTGCTCAGGACTGCCTGTCTCTTTGGCTTTCAGCCTTCCCCCTGCTGTCCCTGGGTCCCCAGCTGAGCCTGCATGAGGACAGCCCCACAGTCAGCTTGACCGTAGACAACGTGCATCTGGAACATGGCGTTGTGTATGAATACGTGAGCACGGCGGGCGTCAAGTGCCATGTGCTGGAGAAGATCGTGGAGCCACGTGGCTGCTTCGGCCTGACTGCCAAGGTCTTGCTGGGCACGGCCGGCCTTGCCCTTAGGGGTGGGACCACCTGATTCCTGGTTTCCCAGAGTTAGGAACTCTGAATTCAGGTCCCTGCCCCACCACTTGGTAGTTATGGGACTTGGGGGAGTGACCTGTAGCCCCATTACTCTCCATTGGCTTGTCTGTAACACAGGCCACTGACAGACCTCCCCTCACAGGGCCATTGGGAGAGATACAGGAGCCGCTGTGGGTGCGCCTCCCTGACACACAGCAAGTGCTCAGCAGCTGTTAATGTTTTTGCAGATACTTGAGGCCTTTGCTGCCGACGACAATGTCTTTGTGCAGAACTGCGGGCGGCTCATGGCGCTGAGCAGCAGCATCAAAACCATGTCCCACTACGAGTTCCGTAACATCTGTGACATCAAGCTGGAGCACATCGGTCAGAGGATCGCCTGCTACCAGAAGGTGCCTGCCTGGGATGTCTTCAGTTGTCAATATCAAAGCCCAACTCAGTTTAGCTTAAGCACATAAGAGAATTTAATTGGTTTGCATTACAGGAGAGTCTGGAGGTAAACTTCAGGCATGGCTGTATCCAGGTGCTCAGACATCACACTGTCGCAGGAAGGTGGCCAGTGACTTTGTTTTCCTTTGTGTTGACTGCACTCTTAGACCCTTGTATGTTGTGAGAAAATGACCCCCAGTAGCTCTATTCTTAGTGACCCCAGTAGCGAAGGACCTGGAGGACAGCACTTACTGGCTTGAATTGTGTCCCTTGTCTAGCATTGTGGCCATCACTACGAGGTGGGGAGGCGGCTTCCTGAGCTTCATGCACAGTAGGTCAGGGAGACATGGCTCCTCGCGTGCAACCCAGGTACAGAGGAAATGGAGAAACGGAAGTGAGGCGGCACCTGGAAGTCTCATTTCTCTGGGTCGTCTCTGAAACACGGACCCAGTGAGAGGCAGTGTAGGGGAATCTGGTTTTAAGTTTGGCGCTACTGGAGTTTTATCCAGTTTTGGATTGTTGGTGTATGTCAGATGAAGGCGGTATGGGGGTGTATCAACTCCTAGACCCCTGAGTTGTGACCCCATATCCTCCACCTTTCTCAGTTTGCAGCCCAGCTGAAGAGCAGGGTCAGCCCACCCTTCAAACAGGCTCCCCTGGGACCCCATCCACTGTGTGGCCTGGACTTCTGCCCCACCAATTGCCACATCAACCTCATGGAAGTGTCCTACCCCAAGACCACTCCCTCGGTCGGCAGATCATTCAGCATCCGCTTCGGTCGCAAACCCTCCCTCATCGGCCTTGACCCAGAGCAAGGTACCTGAGTGTGTCCATTAGAAGTTACGCTTCGATCTCGCACTGCAGATACTTACACAGGATCATGCCAGGAAGGGAGCAGTCCAGGGTTAGAGTGGTGGTCATCAGTCCGTGGTCATCAGGGACCTAGGCTTTCATTCTGCATCATCCTCTTGATGTAGTTTCCATCTTGAAGGATGCCTCATGGTATAGCATGACTGCTGGGGTACCAACCGTCATGTCTGCATTCCAGGCAGGGCAAAGATCACAGTAGTTAATGCACCAAATTGAATCGCCTGGAAGTAATCGAGTGAATTAAAAGAGTATCCAGAAGAATAACATCCTCAACACTGAGATCCTTGCAATGGGTTTGTGTGCCTTGATCCCAAGGGCTCGTGGGTATCTGGGGCCTGTTTCAGAGGGAGCTCTCTCTCCCTCCACTTTAGGCCACCTGAACCCCAAGTCCTATGCCCAACACTGCATCACCACCATGGCTGCCCCTTCGTGGAAGTGCCTGCCTGCTGTGGATTGTGACACCTTGTGCCAGGGTTCCAGTGACAGCAGCTTTGGGCCAGCCAGTGGAACCCTGGGCCAGGAGGACCGGGGCCTGAGCTTTCTCCTCAAGCAGGAGGACCGGGAGATCCAGGATGCCTACCTGCAGCTCTTCACCAAACTGGATGTGGCCCTAAAAGAGATGAAGCAGTATGTCACCCAGATCAACAGGTGAGTCGCCCCCTGGAGGAGCGGGGGAGTGAAGCGTCAGGATGCCCCGCTCAGCGCTGCGGACAGGAGTAGGGGCGTTCTCGGCCGTGGCGCTGAGAGAGGGGTGTGTCTCAGTGTATGGTGCTGTCACGGACAGCCTGACGCGCTGTGCGCGGTGGCTCCCTGTGTGTTCTGCCACAGAACATGTTCACTTGGTGTCTCTACCATGGGTTTCAGCAGTGGAGTGCTTTTAAATTAAAACGGATACTTTAGACACAGTGCTGCCATACACTTCAGAAGATACAGTGTCGTGTGCACATAACTTTCATAGGAATTGGGAAGCCAGAAAATAAGTGCGACTCGCTTTGCTGCGTGTCTGGACCTGAGCCTGCACACACCTGGAGGTGTGCGTGCGCGATACAGGTGTGGGGTGGTATTCCTGGTCTCTAGCTGCAGTTCTGGCGACCAGCAGGGTCTTCAAACATTGCCAAGTGGCCCCTGGGGGGCGGCATCTCCCCTGGTTGAGAAGCGTTATGTAGGGAAATGATGGGGGGGGGACAGCCCCCATGGGGGAGACGGGGTTCCTCAGGGAGGCCGGGGGGACATTTATGATCTGAGGGTCCCAGAGGGAGAGGCAGCCGGGCGCGGTGTCCCAGGGTGCAGTGCACAGGACACACGTGGACGCCACCTGCGAGGACGAGCCTCCTCTACTCAGAGCCAGGTCTCACTGCATGGGCACTAGGATCTGGAGGCTCGAGGGTGGGGCCGTGGCACCAGGGGGACACCGCTGCCAAGCCCAGGGGGCAGGGGCGTCCACATAGACAGGGGGGCAGGTGTGGGGAGGAAGATGTGGGCGTGATCAAAGAGCCTGGGGCGAGGTGGCTGAGAGGGGGCCCGCGAACTGTGGTGGAGGGCTGGGTGCCTGGCTGGCTGCAAGGTGCGGTGGCCTCAGTCACCTACAGTGGCGCAAACCATCACTGTGTCGATAAAGTCGAATGCAGTACAAAGCCACAAACAGACCCGAGAGAGCCCCGGCCGGTGCACATCCGGACCTGGCTAGAGTCCGCTTTCTGACACACCAGCTGTCAGAAGAGGCCTCGGAGACAGTCAAGGACGTGGGAGCCCGGGCTGGGTGCCAGGGGAGGACTATTAGGGCGTTAGGGACTTTCGGTATGGTCAGAGCAGCCAGCTTCTATTTTCAGTGGTGTTTCTTAGCCTCGCACCACTGACGTTCGGGGCCACGTCTTGCCTGTTGGGGGACCATCCCGTGGACTGGCCTCCACCCACCAGATGCCCCTCCTCTAATCGTGACCGCTGCGTATGTCTCTGGACACGGCTCATCCCGTTGGGAACCCCTGCTCTCAAGGAGAGTCCTTACCACTCGAGGCAGCCCACTGCCTGTTTTTCTTTTTTAGTTTTATTGCAGCATAGTCATGCCCGTTTGTTCACACATTATCCGTGGTGCCTTCATGCCACAGCAGAGGAGAGTGTGAGGCGGGTGAAGCTCTCTGGACTCAAGTGGTTGCTATTCTGGGCCCTTGAGCCTGTCACCTGCTGGTGCAAGCAGCCTCTGTCTCCCGCCCTCTACAGGAGGGACAGTGTATGTGCGTCCGCAAGGCTGCTCATGGGATGTTCAGGGAAGGGACACGAAGCACTTGTGGCTTCTTCAGGTTAGGGTCAAAGCCGAGGTCCGAGGTCAGTGCCTTTCCCTGAATGTCCATGGAGGCCGGTGAGGCCGCCCTCCTGCAAGTCCAATTCCGACTCTGCTCCCGCAGGCTGCTGTCCACCATCACGGAGCCAACCTCAGGGGGGTCTTGTGACCCACCTTCAGTGGAAGAGGCCTCGTCCCCCCCGCTGGTCAGTGAGGAGAGCGAGATGGACAGGACTGACCACGGGGGTATCAAGAAGGTGTGCTTCAAGGTGTCCGAGGAAGATCAGGAGGACTCAGGCCACGACACCATGAGCTACCGCGACTCCTACAGGTGGGCTTGGCGGGGGTGTCCGGCGGGACCCTGGCGGCCACAGACTACAGGGGGTCTGGGCCGGTGGGGCTGTGCTGCGCCCACTGGCTGAATGCGACAAAGTCGGGGTCTGATGTGCGTAAAGCTCAGCATTTTTGCAACACACTGCGTCTCCTGGGTCCAGGGAGGAGACCATGCTTACCCTTCCAGCTCTGAGGGTCTGCACTGCCTTTCTGCTTGTAGCTAGAACTAGATCAGCAAAATCCGAATGAGTGGGTTGATTAGACTAAAAACTCAGTTTCCTGTAGTAAACCATGCTGAAGGTGAATAGCATCTCCCACACCACGGAAAACGAGCACAGTGGTCTCCGGGTAGGTGGCGTATGTGGCACTCGCCATGTGGCGAAAGCGGCACTCTCCAGGGGGCAGCTCAGCTCTCTGAGGGCAAAAGCCAGAGCCCAGTGAGTCTGATAAGAAAGGCCCATGTCCCGCCGACCCCACCCTCTGTCCCCCTGACTGCCAGGGTCGCGGCTGGTGCCTCAGGCCTCGTCGGGTCTTTGTGAGGGGCGCTCGGGCTAAGGGGGCACTGTGTTCTTGGAGCCTCGTGTCCACTAGCCCAGGATTTCTTCAGATCTCCTCCTTACCACTCTGAGTCCTTAGGTTTTCCCCTTAATTGTCAAAAAGGCAAAGCAAAGATTTGCAGGATTGTGGATTTTGACTCCCCGTATCTTCCGGGCTCCTGGGACATACATCACCCGAGCACTGTCCTGCCCCCCAGCCCCCATCCTGGGGTTCCAGCCAGGCTGGGCGATAGCAGAGCTGTGTGGTTGACTGTGGGTGGTCTGGGAACAAGGGTGTGCGCCCGGGGTGACCCCTGAGGGGCGCTCATTCCCTGTCCTAGTTCTACGCATCTGTGCCCGGGTGTTTCCACGCTGTCAGAGCAGGGAGCCACCAGGCCACCTGCCTGTCCCTGGCTCTGGTGGTTGGCCAGGGCCAGTTGTCCACCAGAGGACCTAGAGTTGTGTCCACACCCCAGAATGTGGATTCCGGGTGCTGGGGCCAGAGCTTGGGGGGTGGAGGGGACTCACCGCGTCCCCCTGCCCCTTTGCAGCGAGTGTAACAGTAACCGGGACTCGGTCCTTTCCTACACCAGCGTGAGAAGTAACAGCTCCTACCTGGGCAGCGACGAGATGGGGTCCGGTGAGTGCAGGGGCCGCCTCCGGGAGAGGCGCCTCCCTGTCCCAGGAGCAGTTTCTTGTTCTCTTGTTCTGTCACCTTGTTCCTCTCGCGTTGCACGGCCCGGTCGTGCATTTCCTGTCCCTCCCTCCGTCAGCAAACACACACTGAGCAGTGCGTATGTGCAGGAAGCACTGCCAGTAACGGCCAGACTTGAGTCCTGGCTCGCGGAGCTGACGCTCTCTGGATGTCAAGGGTGCAGAACGCAAAACCCACCCCTCGCGGTTAGACTGTGCGGTGCTGTCACCACAGCGGGTGACCCGGTGGCGTCTGTAAAAACGACGGGTTAGAGTCAAATCGAGCAACACAAAAAATTCAGCAGAAGTCCGTGGAAAGCATCCAGGTGGCCTCCCCCAGCCCCCCAGACATGACTGTGACTGGTACTTAGATCACTGGCGACTCGGACAGACACGGACAGACAGACATAAACGCCGTTTCATAAATTAGATCCTACTGGGCCTGCAGCTCTCACGGGCTGCCCGAAATTTGTTTTGTTTCTTATTTTAGCTTTGTTGACTTCAGCATTAAAAAATTTGACTTTGTGACTAGGTCACTTCCACACGGTTCCTGACGCTCCAGGCACGAGGGTGGTGACAGCCTCCCTCCCCTGCCCTCCCCGCCTCCGCTGCCTCTGCTGTCCTTTCTGCCCTTCCAGAGGGAGTCTGCACATAAAATGTAACCTTAATTATACTCTGATTTAACAGAAGAATAAAAGCTCAAGTACAATCAAAGATAACGCTGAGCGTTAGATAAATATTTCATCATATGAGATGCTCAGCCACAGAACCTGCCCCTGGGGAGGTTTTCTGATGAGCCTGCATGTGGCAGCTGAGTTAACCAAAACAGCTGGGGGGCCAGTCAGGCGACTCGGGGTCCTGACCTCGCTCTCTGTTCCTTAGTCTCCTCACTTGCAGACTGGAAGTGATAGCAAAGGCTTACAAGGGCGTGCGGGCCGCCTGTGCTGCAGATGAAGAAACTAAGGCTCAGAGAGGTTAAGTGCCTTGCCCAGTGACACACAGCCAGGACCCACGTCAGTTAGACTCCTCACCCCGTGTGGGCTTTGGGGCTCCGCAGCTCCTGGCCTTCTTGGGAAAGAGGTTGGGAGGTGTGAGAGGAGGCTGACGCCCATGGCCCTGCCTCCTTGGATGTGCCGCGCCTCGTCTGCTCTCAGAGGTGAGGGGAAGGTGATGGTGGTGGCCTCTTCTGTCCTCCAGGAGACGAGCTGCCCTGCGACATGCGGATCCCCTCCGACAAGCAGGACAAGCTCCACGGCTGCCTGGAGCATCTCTTTAACCAGGTAGGCCCTCTGCCTCGTCCCCGGCTTTGCACTGGGTTCTGCTCACTCCGGGGAGAACCTCTAAACCAGGCACTGGGGCAGGGCTGGGGCCACGGCGCCCTGTGGGGCAACAGGTCCAGCTTACGGGAGCTTCCTGCCGTCCAGGTGGATTCCATCCATGCGCTCCTCAAGGGGCCGGTCATGAGCAGGGCCTTCGAAGAGACCAAGCATTTCCCCATGGACCACGGCCTGCAAGGTGAGTAGAAGCGAGTCCCTGGGTGAGGCGAGGCATGACACCAGCATGGGGCGGGGCAGCCTGGTCTCTGCTTCACCCCTCCCAAGGTCAGTGACCAAGGTCAGCAAGTTCAACCAGCAAATCCAGCCAGTTCTGTGTAGACCGTGAGCCGAGAACTGTGCTGTCATGTCTAAAGCACTGTGCAAACCAACACAGAGGATTTACAACAGAGGCCGACCCTTCCACACCCCTGGGTTGGCCCTGGGCCTTTCTGGGCCTCTCTCTTTTCCCATTGTAACCAGACTGGAGCAGTTTGCCAAAATTCAGTCATCCATATTTCCCTCCTTCACTTTAGGCACTTGGCAGAAACTGCTTACAGCTTAAATGGTTTTAACCTGTACTCGTTTGCTACCTGTGTTATTATTGACATAACTTCTTTGAAAATGTCTCTTTAAAATTTAGTTTCTGAAAGGAACAGATGGAGCCCCACGACAGAAAGCCTGTATAGCATGCAATAAGTGAATGTAGCTGCTGTGATTAACCCAGTGGCAACAGTGATCAGAAACTGTCACCACACTGGAACTGTTGCCTCCAGGGCTCTTTGTTCTTTCCTTATGAAAGAGATCAGTGAGTTAAACATGCGTTCAGGACTTACCCATGTCAAATCGAGATTTTCTACTTGAATGTCTGAGGAAAAAAGAATTGGCATTTCTCGTGCCCTCTCACCCATCTTTCCTCCCATTTATGCATCTACCAACCTACTCATCCATCCACCTGTCCACCCACCTGTCCACTCACCCAACCACTTATCCTTCCTCCCTCCCTTCTCTCTATCCATCCATCCATGCACCCACCCACTGCCTACTCCTCTCTACATATATGCATGCATGTGCACCTACCTACCTACATACATACATTCATCTACCCACCCACTCTCCACCCGTCTTCCTTCCTTCTATCCATCCATTCACTCACCTGCCCTCCCATCCATGCATCTGCCTGCCTGTCCCATCCATCCATCATCCATCCATCCACCATCCATCCATCATCCATCCATCATCCATCCATCCATCATCCATCCATCCATCCATCCATCCATCCATCATCCATCCATTATCCATCCGTCCATCCATCCATCATCCATCCATCATCCATCCATCCATCCATCCATCCATCCATCCATCCCTCCATCCATCATCCATCCATCCATCCATCCACCCATCCATCCATCATCCATCCATCCTCCAGTAAATAATTTCTAAGAACTAGCTCACACCAGTCTGATGCTGGGTACTGGAGACCCTCAGATAAGTCTGACACTGCCTTCGACATCAAGGAGCACTCAGCTGGGTGTGCGAGATGGGAAAAGAAATGACCACTTGTTTCTAAGTGTGTGTGTGTGTGTGGGGAAGTAATGGAGAGTTGGGCTCGCCTAGCTCAGCTGCCCCTCCAGCTGTCCAGGATCTCCTCTCCAGGGACTGGACTCAGAAATCAGAAACTCAAAGTCTAGAGAAACCAACATCACAAATGTGTCAGAAACCTGAGGTCTTGCAGCAGGGAACAGGCTAAAGGAATAGGGGTCTGGGTGTGCTCTGCTTCTGAATGGCCCTGCTGGGATCAGGTTCAAGTCCCAATTCTGTCATTACACACCTGGGTCACTTTAAGCAAGCCACATCCCCACTCTGTGCCTGGGCTGCTCCCTCACAGTTCACGAAAGGCTAGCCTACCTTGTTACTCATGTGCTTGATTGATTATAGCTCTGAGGAGGCCAGTACCTCAGACTCCTTCCTATGTTACCTTCATGCCTTGGAGAAAAGAGTGTGGTGATTGACTTGTGATGTCTACACTGATTGGTTGCAGCTGTGAGGAATGAATCCTCAATCAGCAGGAAGGAGTGCTAAGATCAATTAGTGATGTCTGCCTTGGTACACTGAATCAGCAGCACACTTACATGTACCAGGTGGTACCCAAGAGTTCTGCCTGCAACTTTGATCCAACATCATGAGCTTGGCATCTGGTGATGGGACCTAGGCCTTTGTCCCACCATTCTCCAAAGCTACCACTGTCCCTCCCATGGCCCTCATGTCACTTTCCTGTCTCAGAGTTCAAACAGAAGGAAGAGTGCACAATCCGTGGCCGGAACTTAATTCAGATTAGCATCCAGGAAGACCCCTGGAACCTCCCCAACTCCATCAAGACCCTGGTGGACAACATCCAGAGATATGTGGAAGGTCAGTTAGACAAGAGCCTAGCAACTAGTTAGGCTTCATGTGTGGGGGTGGGGGAGTGGCTTGTGGCCTCTGTCAATGTGGATAGCTCAGAAGGGGCCTGTTCCAGGTCCCTGTGCCCAGCGAGAGCCCGAGAGGAGCAGTGCCTCTTTTTCCACCCAGTGTCCTGTCCTGGGCAGGGCCCTGGACTGAACATCCTTGCTCAGGATTGGGTTGCGGGTGCTTCCTGGCAGAGTGAGGAGACTGAGAAGACAACTCATTTCTTCCCAGTTTCTGAAATTGTGAATTTAGTTCAGGTTGTTGCCCGTGATCAAACTGCATGCACGGCGACCTGAGAACGTGTGAGTGGGCGGGTGTGAGCACGTGCCCGCGTGTGTGCCCATGCGTGCCACGCAGGTGTGCGAGGAAAGGGCTGTGGGGCTGGCGTCAGCCTCTGTTGGCGGGTCCATGTAAACAGACACAGCACACCTTGGCGGTTCCATCCCTGACACCCGGGGACTTCTGGAATTTACTCGACATTTAATCAAAGCTCCTTAGGCCCAACTGCGTGGGCCCAGAACGTCCCTACTGTGGGATCAGAGCACTTGACCCCCCGGGGGTCCGGTTCTGCTGCTGCCGCCAGCCCACCTTCTTTCTCTCTCCTTCCCACCCCTCCAGATGGGAAGCACCAGCTGCTGCTGGCCCTGCTGAAATGCACAGGTGAGGGCTGTGACTGTCACACGCAGGGGGCCATGCTGGTAGGGGTGCTCATGGCTGCTCTCCAGGAAGATGAAGTTGACTCCCCTGTGGTCTTGGGGCTGCTTCGGGGGAGGGTGTGTGTGAAAAGGTGGCCTCCAGCCACCTCCAGGAGCTGCTTAGGCCTAGCACACTTCTCTTGTGTCGGGCAGAAGCCTCAGGTCCCTCAGCAGGGAGCCCCGAGTCTTGCCCCTCCCAGGCCTGGGCGGGTCTTGACAAGGACACGGGATAGAGGATTGAGGACCAGGAACAGCCCCCCCCCCCTTGTCAGCAGAGTGCTGGCCCCAGCTTGGGGATCCCTGGCCAGCACCAGAAGAGGGCGGGTGGTGGGCACGGGGATGCTGGAGCTGCCCTTTGTCCCTCCCTTTGCCCAGAAAGTCTCAGCCAAGGAGTGGCTAGAATAGGGTCGAGGTCATCATTGGCCATTTAAGCCAGGCAGCAAAGGCCAGTCACCCCAAATCACCCCTTCCAGAAGACTAGAAGCCTGCTGGCCAGTGCGTGACTAGCCCTGCAAACTGCCATGAGCAGGACCAGAAAGGGGGGCGGAGGGGAAGGCAAGAGAAGGCGGGCCTCCCCAAACAAAGAAGACAGTCAACTGCATTTCTTAAAACTCGGAGCTTGGCGGTCAGCCAGCCAGGGCCCAGCGCTCCCTTAACTAGAGGGGAACAGCTGAAGGTTTGGGGACGTCCAAGGGAAGTCCCAGTTTTTGTTTTTTAAAATAGGCACATGGGTCGCCCAGAGCGTTGTTTTTTAGCGAATTGTCTTCTTGGTGGAGATTTGCTTTTGGTGGCTGCCAGGGGCCAGCCTGTCGGGAGCCCCAGACGGGTGGCCCAGGGGTTGGTTCTGGGCCCTGGGGCTGCCCCTCCCCCCCGTGCCCACCTGACCGCGCCCTCGCCCCAGACACGGAGCTGCAGCTGCGGAGGGACGCCATCTTCTGCCAGGCGCTGGTGGCCGCCGTGTGCACCTTCTCCGAGCAGCTGCTGGCGGCCCTCAGCTACCGCTACAACAACAACGGCGAGTACGAGGAGAGCAGCCGCGACGCCAGCCGCAAGTGGCTGGAGCAGGTGGCGGCCACCGGCGTCCTTCTGCACTGCCAGTCGCTGCTGTCCCCCGCCGCCGTGGTGAGTGAGGAGCGGGGGGGAGCCCCTGCTCTGCCCGCCTCTGTCCACCCACCCTCTGGGGTCGGAGGCCCCAGGCTCCTTTGCCAGCCCTGGGAGGCAGAGCCAACACCTCAGCATCTGGGGAGCTTGCGCAGAGCAGCTCCCCTCCAGAGATGGCAGCGCGCAGTGGCGTCTGCTCCGTGCTGCTTCTCCCTCCACCCACGCTGTGTCCTGGCCAGCCTGCCTGCGTCTCTGCATCTCTGGGCCTCCCACACCTTGTCCCAGGCTGGGCTGGAAACCAGGGCCCTTGGGGTTGGGGAAAGCGTGGGCTCGGTGCGCCCCCTGCTGGCTGGTGTTAACCATAGGTGCCAGCAAAGTGGAGCCAACCTGGGGGTAAGGGGCTTTATTTGGTCAGCTAGGTTGATATGGTGAAGTTAGATTGGTGGGGTGGTCAGGTCTGATGACCACCGGCACATTAGAGCATAGACATGTCCACCCCCGAGAACGGCAGGACAAGCTAGAGCGAGCACGGGTCCGCTCACTGCCCGGAGAGCCCCGCTTGGGACTGGCATTTTGAAGTGAAACCCTGGGCCAGGGCTGGCCTCTGAGTCCCCCACCGTCTTCCCCTGCAGAAGGAGGAGCGCACCATGCTGGAGGACATCTCGGTCACCCTGTCGGAGCTGGACAATGTCACCTTTGCCTTTAAGCAGCTGGATGAGAACTGCGTGGCCAGTGAGTGATTCCTCCCCAGCGCCGTGAGACTTGGGGGTCCCAGGGCAGTGGGGGGCACTCTGGGACCATCCTGTCTCTCGCCCTGTCACCAGGCCAGCTGCTCATGCTCCAACGTGAGCCTCAAAGCTGAACCCGAGGGACCCATAGATAAAGAAGTGTCTCTTCTTGTACAGAGCCAGTCACCCCAGAGCTTACTAAGGGGGCCCCGGCCAGCACCTCGCTCTGACTGAATGCCATGCTAGAGACGTCCTTCTCTTTAGTGAAGATGCGTGAAAGTCTCCTTAGGGCTGATTCCATAATTAGGCTTCTTCCTTCCACCCATCTTCCACCTGCCCACGCTCTCATCCACTCACACCCCACCCCGACCCAACACCATAGACTCATCCATTTACCCACCTACCCCCCCACACCACCAGCCCACCCACATGTCTGTCTACCCAGCCCACCCAACCCTTGTCCCATCCATCCTTCCATCCTCCCACCCACCCACCCATCCAGCCATCCACACGACTAGTATTTAAGGGCATGCAGCCTGGTGTTAGGTTCTGGGCTGCTGTGGAAAGAAATACGGCAAGGTTCCTGCCTCCTGGAGCCCACGGCCTCGCCCAGCGGGTCTCGGCCCTGCTTGCACTGGGATCATTCAGGGGGTTTTTCAAAGATACTGATGCTCCGGTCCCAGTCTTGAGCCCGGGTGATTCAGATTGAGTTTGTTGGGGTGGCCCCTAGGCGATGGGATTCTAGAAAAGCCTTCCAGCGACTTGGATATACAGCCAGGACCGAGAACCACAGGGCTGCAGAGCTGGTTCTCCGAGTGTGATCCCTGGACCAACCATGGTTGGAAGGTGGATTCTCAGGCCCCAACTTCCTGAATCCACAGCTCTGGAAGTGGAGCCAGAAATCTGTGCTCACCCGCTCTGGGTGATTCTGAAGCAGACTGGTTTGAGAACCGCTGCGCTGGGTCAGTGCTGCTCAGTGTGCTTTTAGCGGCAACCCCACAGGGGCCTTTCAGTGTTTTCCCTGCTTGCTGCACCCCCATGAATATTTAATGCCACAGGTATATGATGTATCTGTTTTCATGCTGCTTGTATATCTGTGCTTTATACATAGGGAGAGTACATTTTTTTGCCTCTCCCTCTCCCCCCACCAAACCTTTTTTTTTTTTTGCCCCCTTGGGAGTGTATTACCTTCTTCAGAATGTGTAGATGAGAGTCTAGATGAACAAAGACATTCGTACAGTTTGGAATTGATTAGCAGTGACTGTCAAGCCCAGCTGGGCTCAGGAGGAGCTGCTGGTGATGTCTGCCGGGGCACAGGGTGACTGTGACTGCACAGTCTTGCCCACGTGGCCATAGCTCTTCCTTGTGGGTTAAGGAAGAGGCAGGTCCTGTCGGGGCGGCTCTGGCCCTGGGCACCAGGTGAGGGGTGTGGACGCAGGGCAAGGCGCTGGAGGCAGACACTGGCCTGCCTCAGATAAGCAGTACCAGTGCCTAAGAATTAAACGGTGGACATTTGAGCTGTTAAAGGAGGCAGAAAGGGAGGTGAGCGCCTGCTTTTCTGAGTGGGGGAGCATGGGGTGCCTGGGGCTCCCCTAGAAGGCAGAGGGCAAGGCAGTCTGAAGCTACCCCTCTGGGGTGGGCAGACTCCATCCTGCAGGTTTGAAGGGGATGTCTGAAGCTACTCTCCAGAAAGGGGGAGCCCCCCTTGCTTCCATGTGAACATGCTGCCCCACATGTCTCCCCACAGACACCAACATCTTCTATCACATTGAGGGCAGCCGGCAGGCACTGAAGGTCATCTTCTACCTCGACAGCTACCACTTCTCCAAGCTGCCCTCACGCCTGGAGGGTGGGGCCAGCCTGAGGCTGCACACTGTGCTCTTCACCAAAGGTGAGTTTTGGGGTGCTGGGGCAGCCAGGCTGTTGAACACAGCAGGGTCCAACAGCCTGCCCCCCTTTTCTTCCTTCACAGCTCTGGAGAATGTGGAGGGGCCGCCTCCCCCAGGCAGCCAGGTGGCAGAAGATTTGCAACAGGAGATCAACACCCAGTCGCTGGAGAAGGTTCAGCAGTATTACCGCAAGCTCAGGTATCTGCCCGGGTTGCGCAAGGGTGTGGGTGTTAGCAAGTAAGGCGCCAGGCAGGACCCTGTGTGGCAGTGGACAAATGCCCCCTTGCCCACCTGCTACGTACCAGGCATCAGCCTCCATGAGCTCATCAGCCTCACAGCAGTCGGGGTCAGCCTTTCTCATGCACTTTGCAGAAGGGGAAACTGAGGCTGGGGCGAATGCCCAGGCGTGGTCACGTGGCTGCGCAGCCGCTGGGCTGCAGTTTGAACCGGGTCTGTTTGAATCCAACAGAGAGGAGCTGCCTGTCTCACTCCAAAGTGGGGTGGGAGGTGGGAGGGAAACCCTGTGTTCCCAGGCCTGTGAGGAAGGGGTGTGGCCCCTGCTCAGAGGGGAACCCCAGAGAGGCATGGAGAGGAGGGCGGAATCCTGTCAGCCCTGGGGCAAACCTTGAGCCCAGGACCGTGACTGCAGTCCTCACCCCTTTCTACCTTGACCTTGCTGTCTCCAGATGCATAAAAATGTGCTCAGAATTAGGGGACAGATGTTCAGTGTGTGGGGAAGACCTTCACCGTAGTGGGGCCCAGCTTCACCATTTGGAATTGGGAGCTCGACGGTTCCATTAATTTCTTCAGGGGAAACGTCAGTTATTTCATTAAAACTGACATGTCTTTGGGTCGATAGCCGCCACCCAACTGGTCTGTTTGCCGAATATTGTAAATCTTGCTCGTGAGTTTCCTTCATTCCTTCCGATCATTCGGCATGTTAATCTAGACTTCTGTGGACCAGGCTGGGCTCTGGGTCCCTGCTTGGGCCTCAGCAGTGCCCGCATGGGAGCCGTTCTTCATGGAACGTGTATTCCAGAGCAGGGCTGGCTGGCCCGTGCCCTGGTTTGTCAATAAAGCTTTATTAGCACACAGCCACGTTCATTTGCGTGCACGCTGCCTGTGGCTGCTTTTGCACTCCATGGACACAGAGCTGAATGCAGTTTTAGTAGTCAGGTCTGCACAACCTGGAATATTTCCTCTTGGGCCCCTTACAGAGAAGCCTGCTGCTCCTGTTCTGGGGTGGGATGAGGGTGAACCCAGAGCCAGTACACAAAGAGCAGTGTAAGGTGTCAGCGCGGAGAAGTGTCTGGAGGGGGGGAGGCAGGGTGCCTAGGGTGGGGTGAGGCTGTTTGTTGGGTGCTATTTCAGAGGTCAGCAGGTCCAGGTGGCCTCGAGGGGTGGTCTGGCCTTGAGGGGTGCTCTCTGCAACTGCTGGAGGAAGGGGAGCTGTGTGCTGCTGAGTGGGGCTCCCAGAGGTCTAATTCTGCCCGGGGAAGGGAAGGGGGCAGTTGCTGCCCCAGTCAGGGATTGGAAGGGTAGTGGGGGGGCAGCCCTGCCCTCACCCCATCTTTCCCTCCTAGGGCGTTTTACCTGGAACGGTCTAACCTGCCCACGGACGCCAGCACCACGGCGGTGAAGATAGACCAGGTAGGTGCACCTTCCCCGTGCTATGGGACAAGCACAGGGCTGGGCTTTGGGTCAGGACCCAGCGGGCCAGGCTCAGGTGGCCTCCGCACTGGCCTCTGCTGGAGAAGCCCCTGAGGCCTCTGTGGCTCCTCCTCCAGGAAGTCTGCTAGGATCCCTCCCTCCCCACTCTGGGACTTCTGCTGCTTCTCCGCAGCCTGGCACTAAGGATGGTGGCCTCCCCTGGCACCACTCTCCGTGTCTTCCGGCCCCGCTGGGCCATGGCAGCGTTGCGCTGAGACCTGCTGAGCCAGCAGGTCCTGTCCCGCACCTGATGTGCAGAGGTGTTACTTCAAATTGGTTGCCAATGTTGAAAATCAAGACTTCACATAAGACAGGTGGCGAGCTTTTCTGAGGAGATCTGGCTGCCCAGTGCCCGCATTCCCATGTGCCTGCTGCACATTCTGGGTTCAGGCAGGCCTTGGATTTGACCCCAGTTCTGCAGTGCTGGCCTTGGGGCTGTGGGTGGGGTGAGTGAACCTCCATGTGTGATGGAGGGACCCTGGGGTATTTGAAGGCTCTTGCTTGGGTGGCCTCGAGCTGCTCCTGGGTCAGAAGACAAGAGAGGACATTTGGGTTCAGCAGGGGCACCCCAGAAGCTGGGCAGGTGTAGAGGGTTTTACTGCAAGGTTAGGCCTGAATTAGGATGTGAGCACTGCCACTGCCGCCAGCTCAGGGCAGGGGAGCTGATGGTGGTCCTTAGCAGAGGTCACGGAAGGCGCTTTCGCCTGAAAGTTCCCTCCCACCGTGAGCTGAGTGGGAGGGGAGGGGAGTTGCAGGCATGGGGCTGGGCCCGGGGAGACGGGGCCTCCTTTGACGGCCGGTGCGTGCCTCTCAGCTGATACGGCCCATCAACGCCCTGGACGAGCTCTGTCGCCTCATGAAGTCCTTCGTCCATCCCAAATCCGGCGGCGGCGGAAGCCTGGGTGCTGGTCTCATCCCCATCTCCTCCGAACTCTGCTACCGCCTGGGCGCCTGCCAGATCGCCATGTGTGGCACGGGCATGCAGAGGTGGGTACCAGCGCCCCACGAGGAGGGGCGGAGGGGTCAGTGTGGGGGCCCAGGGCAGGCCAGCTTTGTGTCCTGGCTCTGCCCCCGTCTGTTGAGCGCAGACAAGGCCTTGCCATGCTCCAGACTTCAGTGTGTCCGTCTGTGAAATGGCCGGCGGGAGTGGGCACACCTGGGCGTGCTGGGAGCCCGCTGGGGCGTGGCTCTGAGGTCCCCGTGAAGGACGGTCTGTGCGGCCTGGTCTGTCTGGAGGATGACAGCCATTTACCTTTTGGGGGCAGATCTGCCCTCCATGCCTTGTGGACACTTTCTGCCTGTTGTCCCTATCACATATCCCAGTTCTGTGGGAACAGAACCCCAGCCCAGGGCCTGCTGGGCCATGATGGTCTCGGTGGTGGTGGAGGGTTCTAGGGCATCGGGGGTCTTGGAGACCATGGGGGGGGCAGGAAATGGCCCCTGCCCTTGCCCCCTCATCACCCTCCCCACCCTGCTGGCAGGAGCACCCTGAGCGTCTCCCTGGAGCAGGCAGCTGTGCTGGCGAGGAGCCATGGGCTGCTGCCCAAATGCATCATGCAGGCCACCGACATCATGCGGAAGCAGGTGAGGGTGCCTGGGCCCCAGTGTCGGGCGCCGGGCCTAGGCATCATGGCTTGTGCGTGCCCCCAGCCAGCTGGGAGATAGGCCTGTGGGGGTGGGGAGGAAGCGGCGGCCATGGGCCCCAGCTTTGGACTCTCCCCTACATGGAGTGGTCTAGATTTTAGCCTCTGGGGCGTCCACCCCGCAAGCCCGTCCCTCTCCCAGGCGCCCTGAATTCAGCGGAGGCAGCTCTGGGCCTCACAGTGTTCCTTCTAGGGCCCCAGGGTGGAGATTCTGGCCAAAAACCTCAGAATTAAGGATCAGATGCCCCAGGGCGCGCCTCGGTGAGTATCCCCTCCTCATGTGCGGTCCTGGGAGGCCAGGGCCCTGGCTTGGCCTCCCTCTGGGGATTACTTTTTGTTGGGGCCCACCCTTTGGGGAGCAGCAAACATAATTCAGCCTGTTTGCCCCGGAAGACCCTTCGTCGTCCCCTTCATGTTCTGAGACCAGCCCCCCGCACCTCCTCTGCCCCTCCCCGCGCCACGCCCTCATCTGGCCTCTCCTGTCCTCTCTCCGTCCACCTGGCCCGCTTGCTCTAACTCTTTAGAAATGATTTGACTCACAAGAAGCTGCAGAAGTAGCTCGGTTTCTGCAAGCCCGTGAGCTCCAATTGGCCCCCGACCAATGTCTGACGGGCTGCGGACTCAGAACCAGTGCTACGGCCGCGCCTGAGTCTTGCCAGCTCTTACCCTACCCCCTTAGGCTTCATTTCTTTCAGCGCTTCTACCCTGGCACCCCCCAAACCCCTGACCTGTAAGAACTCACTTGGTGCCATCAGCCAGCATGCTGTTAATGCCCCCGGGTGGCAGGTGGGGCCCGGAGGCACAGAGAGGTTGAGTATCTGGTCCCAGCTCACACAGCTATGGCAGAGTGAGATTCAGAGCCCAGGTAGCCGCCGGGCCCAGCTCTGGGGGCCGCTGCTTTGCCTCTCTGCCCGAGTCACCGCCACGGCCTCCCTGCCTCCCTCTCCCCCACCCCTGCGCAGAAGGCCTGACGGGCTCTCCTGCTTGCAGCTTGCAGATCAAGCTCAGAGTCCTCCCAACGTAGCCTGAGAAAAGCAAAGCCGCTCAGTGCGGGCTGCAGGCTAGGTGCGAAGTGCAGGGCCAGACTGTGTCTGGGTTGCCATTAGCATGGAGAACGCTCAGCATTCCACATGTCTTCACACCCAGACACCCGCGGTATTTAGACACCGCGCCGGTCGGCATGGAGCGGGTGCTGCCCCGTGCCCCGGGGAGGGCCCTGGACAGCAGGGGGAGTCTGTGGCCAGTGAATGTTAGTCACGCGGCCTCGTCACTGTTCTCCTGAAGCCGAAGTAGTGACCGGCGGCCTGCGGGGCCACCTCCTCCTCTCTGCCCCGCCCCAGGCTCTACCGCCTCTGCCAGCCCCCCGTGGACGGAGACCTCTGACCACCAGTTGTCCGGGGTGCGACTGCTCCTTGGAGCCGGAGTGTGGGAGGCCGTGAGGACCACGCCGGCCTTCCCCAGAGCTGGTCGGGCTCTGCTCCCGCCTGCCCGGGGTGTGCCTGGCCTCCCGTGTCCCCTCCCGAGGACAAGCGCTGCCCCACCCTGGGACAAGCTGGCTGATCGGCGCCGATGGCACCTCCTTCACACTTCGCTGGAGCCCAAGGATGCTGGGGACCCACAGTGCTGAAGGGTGCGGCAGGTCCCGGGATACCGGGACAAGTCCTGGACTCGCCGATGGAGGCTGCGGGCCCGGCGGCCCGGACGGCTCAGCTGCACTTTGAGGCCCTGGTTCCTCCTCAGTCCACATTCCAGGTGACCACGTGTCTGCTCCTCTGCCAGCTTCCAGATTCACCCTAACCCTGTACTAACCTGCTCCGAGGCCCTGGAGAGCCAGGAGAGCCAGAGGACCGGCTCACCGTCTCCACCGGACCTCCGGAGCCACAGCAGCTCCCACACCCCGCCGTGGCAACGGCGTCAGCCCGGACTGGAGCCCTGCTCCGACTTTATTTATAGGGTGTGAAATCTCTGGTTATTTCAGGATTTTATGTTGCTGGTGTTGTCGGCATTTTGTTCGGGGCTTGTGTGATTATATATTTGACATTTTAAATTTCAAAGAAAGGTATATTGTCTAACAGGGGACCAATATAAGGCAGTAGTGACAACTTTTCCCAGTTCTACTAAAAAAAAAAAAACTAAATTATTGAAAATTTTAAATGTCAATATTTCATCTTTTTTAACACGAGGTCAAGGTGGGCCTGCCGTTCCTTCTCCCCCCTCGGTTCTCCGGGAGTCGGGAGTCGGCCGCTATTAGACGATTTGCTCTTTTCCAGCACCTGGGCATAGGGCCGCGGGGGGCGGGGCCTGGGCCGCCCCCCTGAGCGCCGCTTCTGCAGGTGGGTGTCCTGCAGGTGGGGACGTGGCTGGGGGACACCGGGCAGGGGCTTCTGAGTTTTTTTCGGCTTTAGCTCAGTGCAGGGCACTCGCGACTTCTCAGCCAGCCAGAGAGACAGGAAGCCTCCTCCCTGGCCACCTTTGGGGGGAGGGACCCACCAGGTCCGGCAGCATTTGTCCCCCGGCCCTGTACACTGGCCAGCGAGTGTCACGGCAGAGGCGGAAGGGAGTGGCATCTCTGCCCCAGCTGGTGGGGACCATGCGGTGGGTTTCCTGCTGCTCCGAGGCTTCAAGCCCCACCAGCGTCTCGCTCCCAGGGGCCCTTTGCAGGAGGCGGGCCTGTGTCTGGACACAGGTGGTGGGGATCTCTGGAAGGGAAGCCGCTTCGTTGGGGGTGAGCACGCGCACGGTCCTGAGCACCAGGGCGCTGCACTGGTTTACTTTAAAATGTACAGATTCTTCTCATTAAGTTCATGACAGATTTTTTATTATTAAAAGCCACTTTATAATACAAAGATCCTGAGCCATGGTGGGTTCCTCTGGGGTTGGCCGTGGTGGTTGGTGCCACGGGGTAAGCTTTGAGGAGGGTCCAGGCGGCTTCCGATTTATACCTTAGGGGTCCCTCATGCGTGACCCCTAGTCGGTGAGGATGCCAATCCGAGTGGGCACAGGACAGTCTTTCTTGCAGAGGGACAGGAGGCCTCCCGAGACCGTGTGGGGGTCTGCACTTGGGTGCACCTTGCAGAGTGGACTGACTGCCTTGACCTTGGCCTTGCATTCTGTTACCGCTTCCCCGTTTGACCGGATGTGGGAGGGATGAAACCCAGGCACTCCCCGCCCTGCCCTGGGTGCCAAGTCAGGGTAGGGTCTCCGCTGTGCTCAGGGGTCAATGGACGCAAGAACGACCTCCAACCTCCGCAGTCTGTCTTCCTCCCCTGCTTGCCCTGCAGGGCCCTCTGTCCCTCCGTCCCTACAACTGTTGATGTGTCTGTCCCTCTCTCCTTCCCTCCCTTCGGATTCTGCTTCCCTTCTGACTGTGGTGGTGGGACGTAGTAACTTAGCACCGCTTCCTCCCCTCGGCCCCCCAACACACACCACTTCCCACCCTGCTTCCCTTCCCTTTTTCTTACTCCTGCCCAAACTTCCCTACACGTCAGAAACACCAAGGTCTCTTTTGGGGTGACCCCTTGGATGGCCCCCAAACTTCCCTACACGTCAGAAACACCAAGGTCTCTTTTGGGGTGACCCCTTGGATGGCCCCCACTGGTCCCGGCTACCCTGGGTCCCCCGGAGCCATGCTGCCCCACCCCACCCCTTCTCTTTCACCTCCTTTTTGTCCACACTAACCTGCCCGGCGGCTCCCTCAAAGCCCAGACTGGGTCGTCGCTATGGCAGCCATGTCCTTCCACCCCAGGGCTCAGACGCCAGAAGCCCTCGGAGCCTGTATCCTCAGCTGTCGGGTGGAACCGGCTTGGATAGGTCCCTCGGGTTGGGTGGTTAGGTGCTGCCTCTCAGGCGGACTCCCACCTACCCGGACCTGGCAGCACCTGCTCTGCTGAGTGACGGCCTCTCTGCAAGTCGCCATCTGCCCCAGAGCCTCATTTCCTACTCTGGGAAGCAAAGTAGCCCAGCTGGTGATGTTGCTGGGGGTTGGGGGGCTACCAACAGTCTTCAGAGTCCCCCGTTTAACTTCCAGGGGATCACGTGGTGCCCTGTGAGTCCAGCAGGTGGCGCCAGGGGCCGCATGGTACCCAGGAGCTGTGGCGCGTGCCCTTCCAGCTCCAGCCCCGGGGGCTCCTGCGAGCCGCCTTTGGGACAGGCAGCCTGGAGGCGGGGTGGGAGGGCGGGTGTGTGGGACTCTCTGGGTGATGGGCACTGGTCTCTGCCCCGCTGGGCTCACTTGGCGTGGGTATTTTCAGCCTGATTTGGCATGGGTATTTCCCATTCCTGTCTGCCTCGGTCTCTCGCTCTCCACTCCCTGACCACTCCCTCCCTGTTCTGTTTTTTAATTTGTCCCTTAGCCTATAGGTATAAGCGCGATTCTATTTTTATATTCCTTTTTCTTGTGTGCATTTCTCTCCTTTCTTCCCCTCCTTGAAACTGGGTGTATGAGAGGGCTGTAAAAGACCACTAGACATTGTCAAGGAGGGGCTCCGTAGGGCCATGCCCAGGAACCCCGCGTTTCCGTGCGCACGGCGCGCAGGAGAGTCTGGCCACCAGGTGGCGCTGCAGACCAGGCTGTCCAGGCCGAGCCTCCGCGCCCCCAGGTGTTTTCAGTCTCCAGAACTTGGGACGCGCTGGGCGCTGGGCGCTGGGCGCTGGGCGCTGGGCGCTGGGCGCTGGGCGCTGGGCGCTGGGCAGTGAGTCTGAGAGCCTAGCGGGGCGGCTCTCTCGGGCACTGGCAACATCCCCTGGAAGGTCGAGGAGCGCGGCCATCAGTCGGAGAGGACTTTAGAAACGAACCTGACCGGGCAGCTGATCCCAATTTAGAGTCCCGTGAGGGGAGGATGTTCAGAGTCACAGGTGTGGAGCGTTTAGGATCTACCGGCTTGTTGCCGGGCGGCTCCATGGCCCCATTTTACAGAGGAGGAAACGCGCTCGGGTCATTTAAGTGGCTTTAGTCATAGTTGAGAAGCTCAGAAATACGGGTCCCTGGCACATGTCCGGGGCTGAGCAAGTGGGAAGTGTGGGGTCATTGGATGTCATGGGGCCTTTGCCCAGGTGCACCATGGCAGAGTCAGGCTTGGACTCTGGGGCCTGGAAAAATGCGGGGCCTGCTGAAGAGGTCGCCCTGCAAACCTGAGGACCACAGGCTGTTATGGGATAACAGGGGAGCTTTGCTGCCTTCAGGCCTGGGGTGCTGCCTCGGGGCCTTTCCGCAGGCTGTTTCATGGCCTGGAGCAATCTTCCCCAGAGGGCCTCATTATATTCAGGTCTGCTCATGTCCCACACGCCACTCACTCCTGTCACCTCCCTCCCCACCTCTTCTTGCATTTTCCACCAGCTGACAGAAACCTGTGTTGGTTGTCTTTCTCTGCCAACGTGGGTTAGCTCCACCAGACAGTCTTGTCTGTCTCATGCATTGGTGACCCCAGATCACCAGAGTGTGGTGGGGGGCCCTGACAGTCTCCCCTCCGGATATGGCGGCTAAACTTTCAGGGTGGGGGAGGGGGCCAAGGAGAGCCATAGGGCTGCCCCCACCAGGTGTCCTGAGTGATGGACAGACTCGTTGCCAATATCCGTTGCCGGAGCTGACTCACTGCCTGTTGACGTGTGTGGGGTGGATGGATGTGTGAGTGGCCCTGTGGGGAGGCAGCTCTGCCTGCGATGAGGCCTCTGGTCAGCTGTCCTGCTGGTCACTCGTCCTTCTGGTTCTTGCCGTGACTGTGAGGGGAAGCCACCATTTTCAGTCCCTTCCTGTGGATGAGTAAGCAGCCGTGGCTGCTGGAGTTCACATCAGCGTGGGGTTTGAGCCCCAGGCATCTCACCACAACACCCAGCTGCTTCAGCACCACCATGGCCTCCAGGCGAACCCAACAGCCAGAGGGGTCCAGCCTTCCCTGGCTCCCCTCTCCCACCCTCTCACTGCCCTGCAGCTTCTGGGACCTTCTTTCTGTTCCTCAAGCTCTCTAACTTCTTTTTTTGTTTCTACTTGGGAACTTTGCACTTGCCTTTTTCTCAGTTTGAATGTCACCTCCTTCGAGACACCTTCCCGATTGAGCAAAGATAGCACCATCAATTGACGCTAACACAGCAGGCGGTTCCCTTCTGCCATGGCTCGGGTCCAGTCTTTATTGAATTTACTTAAAAAAAAAAAAAGATTTATTTATTTACACGTGCAAGAACTGGGGTCCAGGCCAGAGGGGCAGGGGGCAAGAGGATTCACCAGAGACAGAGTGGGGGAGCAGAACAGGCCAACTGATGAAGTAACTGCCGAGGGGAGCAGCGGGGAGACAGGTGAGGTCTGCTGCGCCATGTGGGTCACCCCTGGCTGGGGATGGAACTTTTGCCAGCGATAGCTTGATAGTGCTATGCTAATTTAATCTTTAGGTTTTAGAAAGCCCACACGTGTTCTCCTGCCTTTTCTGGAAGTGACAGTGCTAGATATGCCAACCTCTCTTGAAGTCTGTCTGTTTTTTTCTGTTCTCATGGGCAATTCATGACTAAGCTCCACTCTCCCCAGTTCTCAGATCCCTGTGGGAAGCCAGGATGGAGCAGAATGTCCCCAAGAGAGTGCTCATCCATCTGGCTGGGTCTGAGTCACTGGCTGCTGGGTCTGAGTCATCAGAAGGAGGGTACACCTGATGCTGTTAGGGCCCCAGGAACTAACTCCCCTTCCAGAATGTGTCCTCCCTGCAATTTGCAGAGACTCACATGTTGTCTGGAGCAGCTCACCTGGGCTCACCTTTGCCTCGCTGCATTGTTTAACAAATATTTATTGAGGCCCTGCTGGGTGCCCAAGGTCAGATCAGTAAAGTATTTGTGGAGTTTATTTTCTGCTGGGTGGATACAACAAAATCAATAATCATATCGGTACAAAATATATCAGATGGCAGGTGCAGGACAAGGACAGATGTGCCAGTGGTTTTAATAAATGGCCACGGTCCTCACAAGCGTTAACAGTGATGGAAGGAACTCTCCTTGGTGTGAATGTAAACTGGCATGACCACTTTGGAAAGTGGTCTGTCTGGACCTTTCTTAAAATACTAAAAGTGGGGGCCCTCCCTGCTGGCACAGTGGATTAAAGTGCAGCACTATGAAGCCAGTTGCAGCCACTGCAGCATGAGTTCAATCCCTGGCCAGGGAGGTGACCCACAT